TGATGACCTGATTCAGAGACCTCCAGCTGCTAAATATCGCCCTGACCAGTTCAGGGGCTACAACACAGGTAGATCCACACAGCCAGGGTGGGTTCATGCAGATCCTTGAGGGGCTGGGGAAGGGCTGCATGCAGAGGGGGATGTTCTCAGGGAATGAAATCCAGCCTGCTGCTGTGGCAAGGCTCTCACTGAGTTCACTGAGGCCAGGCTTTCCCCCCAAGCACATAAAATGCTTCCCCTGGGTACCAGGTATGCCCTGAGGCTGAAAGGTCCTCAATGTGTCCATGGACTCTTTTTGTTGCAATAGCTGTGTCCCGAGGCTTTCTTCTTTGGCCAGAGCCTCTCCCCCTGTTTCCCTGCTGTTGGGTGGCTGTTAAGCATGGGGCCCCGTGGCTGAGGGTCAACATGGTCTTAGCTTCCAGCATCAGCATCACTTGGCTCTCGCCTCAGTCCAAAACTGCCCGTGCAGTCCCCTTGGCTGGAGGTGACAACTCACGGTTTCTCTCCCTGCTCAGACCTCCGCGGGCTGTGGATTTACAAGCTGGAAAGCCGCGTGCGTGTCAACTACCGGCTGAAGTGCCTGGCATGGATGGGGCGGCAGCAGGAGCCAGGGGCGTGGACCCAGGGTCTGCCCACCTGCCCCTGCTCCCTGCAGCAAGGGCAGCAGGACCCACGCTTCAAGAGCAGCCGCGGAGGCAAGTGGACATGATGCTTCCCAACTCTCCTTGTCCCCGGGCTGGCCCTCCTCACCTCCCCTGCAAGGGTGGCTGGGGTCCCTTCTGGCCAGGTGGGAAGGTGACCCCAAGGACAATGACGGAGGGGGCTGCCCTTCCCTGTAAAGACAGGGAAAATGAGGAAGAACGAGGGATGACCTGTCGCTGTCCTGTTAGACTGTTTGGAGATAGTCTAAGCTGCATGGGGACAGTGGGGATGGACATTCCCCCCAGCACTGGGATCTCACCCTGGGGGCCCACTTGGATGGTCTCCATCAGTCCCTCCAAATCCCCACAGCACCACAGGTGATGCAGTGGGAGTGATCCGGCCCAGGTCCTTGCCCTAAGGCAGGGATGCTGGCCGGGGAGAGCTGTGCCAAGGCTCACTGCCGCCGTGTTGCAGGGTGGTGGGCTGCCCGCGTCTCCATGCTGCACTCTGCCTCCCCCAACCAGCACGGTGCCGGTGTCCGCTGCCTGTATGACAGCCAGAGCCAGCTCATCGAGGGGCGGCAGGAGAGGTACTGGAGGTCCTCCAGGCAGGCGTCCCTTTACCGTGGTAAGCACAGCCAGCCCTGGCATCCCTGGCTGAGGCTGGTATCGCTGTAGCCTGTAAATCATTTTAATCTCCGCGCCAACCTGTTTCCTGACATGCTGTTGCCCTCAGAGGGAGCATGGACCTGCCAAAAGCCAAGGCAGGCACCCTGATTGCCCAGAGCCAGCCTGTCTCCCTCTCCTCTCCCCTTCAGGCCCTTACTCTCCTTTTTTGCTTCCAGACCAAGAGCTGAAGTTGTACGACTGGTGCTGTAACCAGGCGGGCAGTGCCCACCTCTGCGCCCGCTACAACGAGAAGAGACCAAAGATTGGCTGTGATGGATACCAGTCACCTGACACGGGTGGGTTTGCAGATGGGGCAATGCCGTCTTGGTGCCCAGGGCTGGCAGGGGGAACATTGCAGCCGCTCCACAGCAAGAGCCCCAGGCAGGGATGGGTTTTGAGGTGCCCACGTGCAGGTTGTGCCATGCCTGGGCAGTGCAGGGTTGAGGGAGGCACCTCCCTTAGCAGATAGCCACCAGCGTAGTCTGGCGGTGATGGCACCATGAGGGGGGGAGGACAGCAGCTAATGTGGTTATCAGCGTAAGCTGATGCGGGGCTTTTTTTGCAACCCCCAGCAGGTTCCTCGGAGGAGGAAGAGAGCGACTCGGAGGATCAGAGAGGTGAGTGGGAATGGGGGTCTCCTCTCCACCAGCCACTTCCCTCTGTCCCTGTCCCCCTACCTGGAAACTGCCCCAGGGCTCCCAGCTAGCCCCATGCTCCCAGAGAGGAGGTGGCCGGGTAGATCTTGTTTCTTGTTCTTTGCAGACGGAGATGATGAGTAACTGGGGGGTTGCACACCTGCAGCATGGTCCGGTCACGGCTGATCCTCTGAGTCCTTTGCTCCTACTCATCCCCTGTGTCCCCCTGCTCCCCTCAGCACCCATCACCCCTGCCCACCATGCAGGGCAGCTCACTTGGCCAGTGCCTGTGGTTGCCTTCACTGGCACAAGTTTGTATTTCTAACCCAGACTTGTCCCAAGGAGTCACTTGCATCAGTTGCCCTTCCCCAGCTGCGGCTGAGCAGGTGCCCGTGGGCACCTTGCTGGCAGGGAGGTGGACCGGTACCCCCCACCATGTCCACCACCCGCTGTCCTCCCCGCCACTGTGCCTCCCACACTGTGGGGTGAGGCTGGCCCTCCGGCACCCAGGGAATGGGTTTGTACACCTCGTGTGGGTCGACTGCGGCCAAGCCCCTGAGTGCCGTGGTGTGCCGGGCTTGCCCTGTGAGCCGGTCCTGTCTTGTCCCCAACTTCTGTCCCGCAACCATCCCTCCCCAGGGGGTCCACACGCACTGTGCCCAGGAGAAGGAGTGGTTCTCTGGATCAACCCAGAGTCTGCTTGATGCTTCTGCTGGGTGTATGAGAGCAAAATTCAACCCCATGATCAGAAATGTTGGGAAAAAATATTTTGTGTGTATAAGAGAGCATCTGCCTTTCTTAAAAAAAAATCCTTATTTGTTTAATAAAGCCTCCGAGGGGTCTGAGCATCACTGATCCTGCAGCAGCCATGTCCTCTGCTTAACTCGGGTGGGAGGTGGTGGTGGGGACAGGCTGGGGACAGCAGCATTGCAGGATGCTGCTGCCCTCTGAGCTGGTGCTGGGGTTGTGAACTGCTGAGACGGGTTCTGGGGCAGCAGGGCTGGAGCTGGGGTCTGCTGGGGTCTGCTGCACCCTCCTTGGGCACAGCATGTCCCCTCAGCAGGGACAAAGGGCTGTGGGGTGTTTGTGGGGACTACAGCCCAACTTGTGTGATCTAAGCCACTGCGAGTGGTGCCTGGGGAGAGCAGTGAGGGAGACTTGCAGCTTTCAGGGGGAATGAGGGGATGGAGCAACAAAAAAAAGCTACCTCCTTCTTCCCTTTGGCCCCATGGATGGGACCAGCAGAAAGCCAGGACTCAAGAGCTTGGCGACAGGGAAGCAGGGCTGGTGCATGGGCACCATAGGGTGCAGGCAACTTACTCAGCAGCATGACACAATTTTTGGTTTATTCTGTTTGGTTCCTAAGGGGTTATAATAGCTGCATTGCCCCACCTGAGTCTGCTCTCAGCGGCTCTGCCAGGTCCAGTTACATTGCATACCCCGGGCATACCCCGGTGCAGACACATTCAAGGACTATCCAGGTTGCCTCTGCAGGTCCTCAGGGGAAGGTGAAATCCTCTTGCTTTGGCCACCCAACATAAACCCACATTTTTCATTCTAAAAAAGCACCTCCTCCAGAGGGAATCCTCCCACAAAGACCAGAACCCAGAAGGCAGCTGCCCGTCCCCTGCCTCCATGCAGGTGCTGTTACCGGAGACACCAAGAGCGGGTGGTGGGGCTGGCAGCAGCGTCTGGCTCCTCCGTGAGCCCAGAGGCACCAGGGCAGGACTAGTGGCAGGCTAAGGCTGCTGGGGGGGCTGGCTCGGAGGCCTGATGTGCGGTCTCTGGATCCTTACCTGTAAAAGAGGGACAGGCCACACTGTGCTGTCAGCACTGCACAGGCTCTGCTCTTCATGATGAGCTCAGGCAGCGGCACAGACCCCAGTGCCAGCCAAGGCATCCCTGGTGTTCCGGGATGAAGCATGGCTCCCAAGCGTCATTGAGGCACAGGGCCAGGACACTGGTCCCCAGCACACAGCCCCCCACCCCGACCATCCAAGGAACAACAACCCCCAGGCAGACCTGGACTGAGGGGTCGATGACCTGGAGCTGCGGTTTCCAACGCCTTTCCGGGGAGTGAGAGTGGGTGGGCTCTGCTTGTTCTTCTGCCATTGTCAGAGCTGGAATGGTGAAGATGAGCAAAGCTTGAAGAAGACTGGAGTGAAGTAGAGCCAGGGTGGGAGGGGTTTGCAGGGAAGTACTCACAGGAGAAGGGCCGTGGGCTCCAGAAGGTCTCCTTGGCCCTGGAAGGGTGGGAGCAGAAAGGGAATGACATGTCAGTGGGCTCTGGGAGAGCCCCTGCCTGGTCGTGGCACCCGGGTGAGATGGCAGAGGGGAGCAGTGACTGAATGTGGGGTCTAGATGGGGCTAAGGAGGATAAGCCCCAGTTGCTGTGCGCACACAATTTCTTGCCTTTCCACAATGCAAATGAACAGAGGTACTGCCCAAAAGCCCTGCCTCCAGGGCCAGCAGGGAGCCAGTAGCAGGGGCAGGACACAGCTCTGACCGGCACGGGGGACTTGGGGTGCTGAGCTTCCCCTGAGTGTGGATGCCACGCCAGGACCAAGGGCTAGGGAGGAGGGAAGGAAATATTGGCACTTCCACTCCAGCCTTGCACCTCGTCAGTTATCTGCTAACTCCTGCTCTGGAGCAGAGCAAGGTCCAAATTTCCAGAGGAAGGTGAATTGCTGTGGGAATCATTTGGATGGTATTCAAATTAAAATTAATAGAAAGCCTGTTTGTAGCCGAGCACTGGGTGAGATGAGGAAGAAATGCAAATATTTCCTGACGTGGAGGAAAAGGGAAAGTAATGTTCAACCCACTGATGTTATCACACCCCTGAGCAGCAGATGACTGGGAAAGGGGCTGGAAGATGCCAAAAGATCACCTAGCCTAGCCCCTTTCCCAGAGCAGGCTCCCTCTGCCCAGGACATATGTGTCCCACCAGTGGTGGATTTTCCAGAGATGGGTTTTCCACTAGTTTTCCTTCCTGACACCCAAGCTCCTTCCCTGCTGCACCCACAGCACCCACCCCTGCACCGGCCCAGCCCATAGCTCACCCCTGGTGCTGCCGGCGGTGCCAGCGGCAGAGGCACAAGGCCAGGCAGGTGGTGGCGAGCAGGAGGCAGAGCAGAGCCAGGGTTCCCAGCAAGATGCCAAGGAAGGCGGGGAGGCTGACGGCCAGCCGCTCACACTGGGCGCCAGCGGGGGAGAAGATGGAGAAGGGGAGGCAGCTGCAGACGGAGAGGGAGAAGCGGTGAAGTCGTGGGGTGAGGTGGCCTCATCCACCCCCGGCATTGCTGATACCTGCACATGGGCCCCTCGGGCAGGTGCTGGCACTGGCCGCCATGCTGGCAGTAGCCCATCTTGCAAGGGGAGATGCAGATGAAGCCGACAGTCCCTGTGTAGTGGAGCCGGTAGCCTTTGTAGCCATACAGACCACAGGGGAAATAGCGCCTCAGCTCAGCCACTGTCACTGGGGAGAGGAGACATGGGTTCAGCTACACGGCAGTGTCACCCCTCGGTGTTTCCCCAGGTCTCCCTGAGCTGGATCCATGCCTGGGGTGAGGACTGCTACCCACCCTCCTCCCCTGCGGGTGTTAACCCAACCCCAGGGCACGCAGAGTGATGGGGACAATGGGGACAGCAAGGTGATCCTCCTGGGCTCCCCAGCTTGGAACTGGGAGAAACTCACGCTTCACCAGGTCGGTGATGTTGTCCCGGCGCAGGCGCTGGAAGAGGAGGTGCGTGCCCACCTCCCGCCGCCTCCGCCGCCCATTGAAGGCACCAGTGATGGCCCCCGGCAGCTCCTCGTTCAGGAACTGGATGACGGTGCCGCGGCTGTCATAGGCAAACTCGGACACCACTGCAAAGGTGAATCCACCGCTGTCTGTCCTGTGGGGAAAAGATGGGTCTGCTGGTGGAGTGCTGCTCCATCACAGAGGGATGGAGTTTCACCATGCCTCAGTTTCCCCATTTGGGGGGTGGTAAAGAAGGGACGAGGCAGGAGATGGAAGGTGCCATGGGCCTTGTATATCCAAGGGTTTATCAGCATCAGGGCTGGAAAAGCAGACTCTGGGGTGGGGGAAAATGCCCTTTGTGCCCCAAATCCTGTGGCCCCATGCCCAGCCCTGCCCTGCTGGCTCCCTGGGGTGGGCACGGGGCCGTTCCACAGCTGACTTACGTCTGAGTGATGTTGGTGTTGCTCTGGAAAGCCTTTACCTCCAGGGAGCCCAGGATGGCTGAGACCTGTGGTGGGGGAGTGGGAGGGTGTTAGGGGAGGGCAGGACGGCACTGGTGCAGGGAGAAGCTGAAGGGCGACACGGGCACAGTGGCCGAGCCCCAAGGGCTGCTCTGGCCTTTCATTCACACGCTAGGGACCTGGCACACGGCCATGGCTGCAGGCAGCATCACATGGCTGGTGCTGCCTCCATTTGGCCCAGGGATCTGCTGGATCCCTAGGGATGCTGCGGGAGTGGGGCGCATGGAGACACGGGCGCCCCAAGCTGCCATGCTGCCTGGTGTGCCGGTGCATCCCCCTCCCCAAGCCCACCCCCTCTGGTGACGTACGGTGCCATTGACTTCGCTGGCAGTGGCGTTTCGCAGAGTCCTGACCCGCAGCTGAATGCTTCTTCGGGGGAGATCTGCTGGGGGGCAAGCCACAGCGGTGGCTCTGGCATCCCAGGGTGGGGGTGAGGGGGTTGGGGTTCACCCCCCCACCAGGCACAGGCACCCACCTGTGCTGGGCAGCGGCTGAAAGTCCCCCCCCGCAACCAAGCAGCGTTGATCAGTGAAAGGCGGGGGGCAGGTGCAGGTGGGGGAGCAGGTGATGAGGTGCAGGTGGCAGTGTCCCCCGTTGCTGCAGTAGCCCTCAGGGCAGGATTGGGAGCCACAGGCTGAGCCACAGCCTGGCCCCTCGCCTGCGGGATGGGGAGCCCAGGTCAGGTGGAGGCATGAGCTTGGCTGCAGAGGCAGAGCCCCAGCACACTAATCCATCCTCAGCTGCTCTGTGAAGTTTTTCTTCCAAGTTTTGGAGTTTTTCTTTTTATAAATAAATTCAGATCTTCGAGAAAAAGCCCTGCACCCCCTCCTCCCAGCTGGAGCCTTACGGCCTTGTGAAATCCCAGCCTACTGCATCAGAACAGGAGCAAAAACCATAGCCCCAACCCCACCACAGCCATCTGAAAACAGGATTTGATTTTAGCGCCCCCAACATCCACAGGTGCATTTGAACTTCAATGGGATGAGATTACTTTTTTTTTTCTTAAAGAGAAAAATTTGCACAGGAAAAGTTTCCCTTCCAGGCAGATTAGTGAGATCTGCAGCTGGACTCTGGTCCCTTCTGCTAAGGACAGCAAGGGCTTGAGTTCAGAGCTCAGCCAGCTCCCCCTCCTCTCCTTTCCAGCCAGTTTGGTTCCCACAGGACTCCCCATCCACCAAGGTCCAGGGAATGATGGGGATGAGGACCATGCCTGCCAGGGACCACATACTCACCCTCTTCGCTTGTCGGGCAGGAGCAGGTGTAGCTGCCCACCGTGTTGGTGCAGGTGGTGTTGCCCGGGCACACCGTCCCCTGCATGCACTCGTTGATATCTGCCAAGGCAATGCAGCATGGCACCAGGAGAAATACTTTGGCTGGGGTCCCATAGGCACCCTGGGTTCCTGGTGGACACGGTAAGCCCTCGTCACCTGAACAGTGCCTCCCATCGCCCGTCAGGCCGGCTGGGCAGGGGCCGCAGCCGGTGTGCGAGTCGCAGCCCACGCCGGGGAAGCATCCCTGGGCGCAGGGGTCCGGAGGGTCCTGGCAGAAGGGACCCGAGTAGCCGCCCTCGCACCTGCAGGCTGCCAGCTGGGAAAGGGATGGTGACAGTGGCTTAGGGGACACAAGGAGGATGGGTGCACAGAGAAGGCAGCCAGTGCAGCTGACAGGCATGGTGTGGCACTGTAGGAGCTTTCTGGCACGCTACCTGCAGGGAGGATCCCCCGAGGGTGGCGGTGTCGCTGTAGTCGCACTCCTGGCTCCTGTTGCAGCTGCAAAGGGTGAAGCGGAGCTGGAGGAGGGCGGAGAGGTTGTTGGACCCAACAGCCTCCAGGTTGACGGTGAGTGGGGCAGTGCCATGGGGCTCCCACGTCAGGGTGCCGCTCTCTGCCAAGAGAAGTGGTGGGAGTTAGGGGAGGTGGCAGAGGAAAGGGACTGGGTGGCCTGTGTCCCCCCATCCCATCCCAGCTGCCCCATCTCTCCTTCCTTACCTGATATGTTGAGCTCTGGTGAGAGGTGGGGGACAAAGCGTGCTCCCACCCCCACAGCATGGTACTGCCTCCTGACCCTTTCTGTCCTGAAGGCCGTGAGCGACGCATCACCGGTGATGACGGGAGGGAAGGCATCTGAGGAAAGAGCAGCCCAGCACACATCTGGTTGTTTGCTACGTGGCCTTGGCACCTCTTGGCTCCAAGTCTTTCCTGGTAAGGGTGGGACCCCAGGTAGATGCTACTATGACCGCCCACAGACAAGGCCCTCATGTTGCACAGAATGGTGACATCTCCCAGGCTTGGAGACCAGCAATGCAACTCCGAGACCTTGATGACTTCTCCCCTGCCTCACATGGAGCAAGAGAGCCCAGGGAGGGAGCAGGGCACTGCCCAGTTACACAAGCCGTGCCCCCTTGGAGGTGAGGATCTGTTCCTCTTACTGAGTACTGTCTTCTTCTGCTGGAAGTCGGCTGCAAGGCTCTGGGTGGCCAGGCCCAGGGCCACATCCCCTGTGCTCAGTGAATCGTAGATGCACTCCTTGCTGCCACGGCACTGTGAGGCTGCCAGCTGGTACTGGCTTTCATTCTCCTGCTGCAGCCGGGACAAGAAGATGGGTGTGAAGTTCATTACTGGTGAGTCCAGAGGCTGAGCAAACAGGCTGTGCTCTCCAACAGCCCCTGCAAGAGAGCACACCATGGGTACAGCCTTGTTTTTTTAAGGTTTGTTATATTTTAGGGCTCATTTCCACAGAGCAGTGAGGAGACCAAAGGGCTTCCCTGGCATCACTTTTGCTCAGGCAAGTGTCTAAATATCTCCAGTTAAAGAATGGCCAGAAGGTGCAGGATCATCAAGGTGGATCCCAAGCCTGGACTTACAGGTCATCCCGTAGCTGTAGATCTCCTCCTCACTGCTGTTCACAGGGATGCTGGTACCATTTGGCATCTGGAAGTCGTCTGCAGGGTCATGGTCCCACACACCTGGTGGAGCATCACCAGAAGACTGGAGTGCCCCATGCTGGGGTTGACCTCCTCTCTGGTGCTGGCCGGTGTTTATACCCAGGGGTCCCTGCCCTCACAAGCATGTTCCCCCAGAATTTTCCAGCCTGCTTTAAGGTGGGAAGGGGACTTTGCACCCTGGCTCTGCAGCAGTGCCAGAAGCCCTCACCCAGGAGGCCCTTGGTGCTGTTGCGGTACCGATCGGGCAGGCTGCAGACCGCGCTGAGGATCCTGGATGTGCCCAAGATGGAGACAGCGATGGCCCCGTCGAAGACAGCTGTGACGGAGGAGGCATTGACCAGCAGGACACCGAGGCTGTAGTACACCTCAGCTCCCATGTCTGCAAGAGAAGGAGAGCACAGAGGGAGAGTCCACACAAGGCTGGGATCTGAAACATTGCTCCTGCTACACTTAACATTTAACAGCTTATCCTGCTCACCTTGGGAGTAGGAAAACTGGATGGATTCATCATTCAGGAGGACTTGGATGTCACCCTGGCTCCCCAAGTTCCACTCAACCTGCAAATCACAACAGATGTCTCAGTCAGTCCCTCTGCTTGTCCCTTCCTGCCGTCCCCCCATGCTGGGGACACCTGAGCTAAACCCCATTCTCCTCCAGCCCCAGCAGAGGGGCTCAGCCCCGGGGGCCATGTTGGTGTGTTCTTCACCACAGCAAATCCATGATAAAGCAACTTTGATGATTGCACAGAAGAGGATAGCAAGCTGTCCCCTGTCACTGCCGGCATGGTGCACGCACAGGCCACCACTGTTGCTCGTCTGACTATGGCAGCATGGAGAGCTGTGCTGGTGGGCTCCAGGTTCTGACCCCCTCCTCACGCTGCTCAGCGGCTGCTTCTGGTGACACCAGGAGACTTTGCTTACTGAAACGGGTGTGGGGAGCAATTCTGCAAAGCAAGGAAGAGTACGTGCTTGTGCTAATATGTCTGGAGAAGTCCAGCTGTTGGGACGAAGGGTGGGCAATTAAGAGGGTGGAGCAGACCGTGTTCCTGCAGAGCTTCAGGCCCTTGCTGGCCACCTTGCAAGAGGTGTTAGAGTTGTGTCTTGTTAGTCTTAGTCCGAGCCACCGCTGTCAGCCCTTTGTTGGGGTCATGGGAGGTGGCAGGAAGAGGACAGGGGATTCTCCTCGGGTCCTGGACACTTGTAGGTGATGCCCAACCTGCCAGAGGGGTCTCTCCTGTTAGAAGCTCAAACTGATACCAAGGTGGCTCCTACTCACTGTTGTGGTGGTGGTGGTGGAGAAGTACTGGGCAGCGAAGGCCACAAAGTTGGTGGCCTGGGCTGTGCCAGTCTGGGCCGTGCGTCCGTGCAGCACGAAGCTGGTCTGGGCATCGCTGGCCAGCAGCAGGACAAAGTCCCCAAGCCCATTGAAGGTGTATGTGAGTCCATCCAGGGTGGTGATGTGGGGGTCCCCGAAGGCGCTAGCTGGTGTCCAAAGGAGATGGAGCCATTTTGGAGGGAGGAAGAAAAGAAAATGCTGGTATCATTGCATGGAGGAGAGCAGCCCCTGGTGCTGTGCACCCACTGGGATGCTGCAAAGTGTGGTTAATGCACGGTGTCCGCGTACGGCCGTGCCACTCACTCAGTACCCTGGCACACAGGAGGTAGATCCCGGGGGACTCACCGGGGGTTGGTGGCACGTATCCCTCGCAGCTGACCCTCGGTCTCTTCTCAGCAAACCTGGCACAGAACAGGGGCTTCCCCACGCGCCGGCAGCACCAGTCAAATGCCTCCAGCTCCCTGTCTGTGGAGGAAGGCAGCTGAGCACTGGGCGGTGCTGGGGTCCCCGCTGCACCTGCAGAGCACTTGGAGTTCAGGGTGTTTTAGGGCAAGGGAGAACTGGTGCCCACTTACCAGTGGTGAGGTGGATGGGGAGGCTCCATGCTCTCTCCTGCCAGCCTTCGAGCAAGCTCCCATCTTGATACAGACACCGCACCCCAGCTCCAGCTGGGCTGGGGGACACAGTGCGCAGCATCCTCACGGAGGCATCCGCCAGGCCTGAAATAGTGGGGGGGGATCATGGCCACCTGCAGACCAGGAGGGGGCCCCCTGCCATCCCCCCACCCCACATCTGGCCCTGGGAGGCTGTGCTTGGCACCTCTGCTCCAGCGGTAACGGAGGTCCAGCTCTGCCTGGGGCTGGGAGCAGGGGCATGG